AATCCCTCATCGTCCAGCAGCGTTCTTTCGAAAGAACTTTGAGAATTACCTAAATGCAACCACAATACTGACAGATATTTGCAAAACTCCGGACCGCAGGTGTCTGCGGTGGGGAACGATCGTGCTGTTATCCTTTCCGGAGGCTAACGCGTTCACCACCACACAACGGGAGTCCTTCTCTTCGCCTGTTTCTCAGCTAGTTTTCTATCCTAAAGACAGCCTCCTGATGTTTCTAATAGAACAGCGCTGCGAGTGATATTCGGAACAAAATATTGTTTCATTTTCACATGCGTACATTTTATACAGACTTTGTGCTGTCGTCTTAGGGATAAATACAGAAGTCCTATTACTGCGCTGGAGTTGTCCAAAAATCAATTTCACGAAGAATTTGGAACGAAATTTAAGATTTATAGAAACTTTGACCCAAGCAGCTTATGCAAACATCAACGATTCCTTTGAGGGTGTCATAGCGTTTTGCCGGATGAAATCCCACCGCTTTTCAACCAATTCGCGTCAGGGCTGCGAGTCTCAATGAGAAATAGAAAGAACCCCTTTTTTATCTTTTTTTAAATTTCTTTATTTGGTCCGTCTTCACGTCTGCTGTGCGGAACCTAGCACTTTTCACATTCAATTCGTTTCCTCCCATCCATCGTCCACGAAGGTCTTCCAAGTTTTCACGTGTGGTTTCGGTTGCTGTTTGAGGATTTTCTTTTCATCCTAAATATCGTAGAATGCTGGTCGAGTTGATCCTTTCTGAAGTCCTTAGATCGCCGGATTTGAGCGTTCCCACTTGGTTTGCAGAGAGCGATTTTTTTCCACACAAATCCGGTACCAATTTCACATCCTGGAGGGTTGAGAGGCTTGGTTGGCCTGGAGCGCAATCGAACTAGCACCATGCTTATGATGACGGACGTCACTACCACTGTGCTATCCACCCCAAAACCTTTGGCTATGGAAAACCTGAGTTTCATTGTGGTAGAATTGTGTCTGGTTTAACAAGCAGTGCTGCGTATTCCTTTGATTTTCATTTTAATTTATAACACTATGGACTATGTGTCTTAAATTCAAGGGGATAAACTAACTTTATACATGTATGGGTCATATAGCACTCATATGGTTGTAAAAGTTTTTTAGTTTTTTTTTTGTAAGAGTTTCTCCTTCATTGTGACTGTTCCTACTTATGGTCGACGATTTGCATGCTACGTGTGTTCGTTCTAAAAGCTTACCTTATGAACAAGATTGTTTCCTGTCTATGTGATCCAATTCCGCTCCGGTTGTCTCCAACACATAGATGGTAAATACACCTGACGTGATGATATCCCTTAAGTGGGTAATCATCTCAACGTCACAGTTGAAAAAATAACTAGTTGCTTCTCCTCATATGCATTTATTCGTTCCTGTTTTACAATGGCAAAATATTACGCCGCTTTGAATGTGATTTTCAGAAACAGGAAATAGTATATACTAAACAGAAACTATAACCTTTCTGATGAAGAATGGTACCACCGTCGTTTTCCGTGATTGTCTATGATTCATGCTGCCCACCTGCTCGAAAATCCTCGACTTAGGAGGAGAAAAGCATGATGCAAGTTTTTCAATGCACCGTTCTTTCTGAAGTTTGTGCTTCACTGGAGCCGAGGTCTAGTTTTGTGTGACAGGTGCATACGCTTAACTTTATATCGTTACAGACTTGCTAATTTATAAATGAGCCATAGTTTTTCAATAACTAGAGGACTTAAAGGCTTGAGGACACGACAGGGTTATAGTAAAGAAGAGAACGCCCTCTAGCTTCAGGGATATCCCATGGTATAAATTTTCTATATGTTACTATGGTCAATCATACAAACAGCTTGCTGTCACCTTGCTTATGGAAGCACTCTGTAGCTTAGATTGAATGATTATCATATTTTTTACACTCGTCCATTTGATACCATCACCGTGATTCATCAAAGCGACCCAAAACGAAACGACAGTCAATCGCCAATCGAGTCGCCGGTCAATGAATTCCTTCGAAAGAAGGTTTTTTGCATATATATATAAGTGCAGAAAAAACTTTTCCCAGCGTATGAACACGAAAACTACGTTGGGCTTAGGCTTATACAGAATGTGCAACAAAAAACCTCTATGAGGTAAAATAAATGGCCAAAGAATGAACCATATACGTCGCACCTCCGCCAGTTTTTTTTAGCAACACACGACTCACGTCGCCGCCAATCTGTTAACTAGAATGCTTTGAAGACCGAAATGGAATGACCTATCTATCATGGGTGCCACTGACGTTATCCCGTTGTAAAAGTATCCCTTTTCGACTGATTATAGTTGGGATTTTTCAAACCAAACACATAACTTACCTATTTACTCCATAGTTATGCTCTGATTGATGACTAGCAGTCAATCACAAGGAACATCTTCTCAAATAAGCCGACGAATATTGAGCTCAGCTTTCTTTTTCGGTACGATAACATTTTGTGAAGATTTTTTAAGGCATGTTTTCAGAATTAAATCACAGTGAATGAGTTTAGACGATAGCTGCAGGTTCACACTTGTAATCATAAGTGGAACTGAACGGCAAGCGAGGACCATGCAAACGTAATAATGCAGCTTAAAATTTTGGAGCCACCTGTAGACATATCTCTTTACTAACCAGTTTTTGAGGAATGCACTTGAAATTGATCTAAACCGCATTCAGATGATTTTAGCATGCAACAATGAACACCTTCCTGCTTAGAAAAGAACTTCTGTAGAAGATGCACACCTTAGATAGAAGCACTGCCAGAGGGCCGTACTTTTATGCGTTCTTGTTTGGCAAACACCCATAACACATTAGCATAACATCAACACATTAACTATGATTTTTCTTTATTATTGGTACTAACTATAAGACTTGTAGAACTCGTATCGTAGAAGTCACTCGGATCGGTTATAAAACACTCAAAGCATTTTGAAACCGACCGTCATTTAACCTCGCTACTATAATAAACTCAAAACATTGTTTCATCAGCTTCAGACAATGTGGAATAGCAACTGCAAATTCTAGTGAGCTCTTCAAGAAGATAAAACTGGAAATAACTAGGTGCTTAAGTCGGTGCTTGGAAAGCATATGTTTATGCGTACTGGGAGCTAAATAACACACTCAAATCGTGTATTTCACTCGCGACCGTCGCCCATGGCAGTTGCTCGCATTGCAGTCTGGCCACTCGCGTATCTATCATTCCGTCATCTACAAAGCATTTGCAGGTGCAAATACAGCCGACTGATGTTAACTGTAAGCAGGGCTACTGGTTCGTAGGAAGCCACCATGCCTGTTGAACGCCCTACACACACATAGAAAATGGTCTGTTTAGTAAAAGAAAAAAAAACCACCGCTAGTTTTCCATAGCGCTATAGTTTTCTAATGAACTGAATTTTATTCCAATTTGTAGATAATACTGTATTTATCCCTAGTACCTAAAGCAACATTTTATTTTCCTAGTGGTACTCTTTAACGAGATGACGAATTTGTCAACAAACAACAAAGCAAATATTTGGTACGGATTGCAATTCCGAACTAGTGCCGGTTTGACAGGTTCGTTCCTCAATGGTGATAATAACGCATCAACGGAAGAGCTGCATCATTGTGATCAAAATACGGTACCTACCAGCTGGGATCCTCACGTAAAGCGGATCTGTTCGACAAAATCTCATATGCTAAGATATGAGCACAACTCCTACTCTCGACTTAGTTCCAAACCTGCGATTACCCTTTCCGGAGACGCAAGCATTATCCATTGCACCATCGAGGCTCTTGCCTCGACTTTTTTCAACCAGTTTTTTTTACCATGACGATGCCATCAGCGCTCATACCATCAACGAAAATGACTTGCAGAGCATGAACATCTATGGAATCTAGTTTCAAGCTGAACCCTCCGTCAAAACTGTGTTCAATACCGATTTGCACTCCCCATAACACCCATTGACAGCATGACTGCTGATAGCATTGGCAAGATGAAAAAAGTGGCTTAATGAAAGGCAAACCACCAGCCTCAGTGGTGCAATGCCTTACACATAAGCCCTGTAATTCGGGATTTGAAACTCACCTAGCTTTCCTAGCTTTTTTTCATATCTTAGTACCATTGTGGTTGCATTTCGCGTAATACCCTGCATGAAAAAAAGTACTAGCAGTAAGGTTCAAACTCTGCTCATAAGACCACTTCCGTTTCCATGATGCTTTTGAACGCTCTCTTGTTCAGCAAAGGTTAGAACAAGAGTTTGCAACAACGTGGTATTTATGAGTGTTTTGTGACTCTAGACGTTCTTATTTAGCAGAATCTCTGCAGTGAGCTCGCTTGCTTAGCTAGATTTCCTTCGTCCAAATTTTTAAATATCCGGTTTAGAATAAAGAAGCGCAGACGGCATTAGAGGAGGATGATCAGAAAGTGAAATCAGCTTATATGTAACTGTCTGCGACGCATAGTCAGTACAACGCCTCCGCAATTGAGTGACCAAACCATCTCTTCAAGCTCGATCGCGGTTTCCCAAACCTCAGTTATATCATGTCATGTTTTCTTTTCGTGCTCGACGATCGTGTGTGATCCGGTGTGAGCAGTCGCGTAGAGAATTCTTAATGCATTGCAACACGAAACAAAAATCGATATCGAATTGGTTAAGTAGGGTGACCAACTATCGCTGCTGAGGCATATTAAATAAATCCGACTACATCTGCGATTCTAACAATTTCTCATGTAGGATACTTTGCTTGTAATAAAAACAGAGATTTTAAACTTATTTAACAACAAACGAACAATCATCTATACACAAAGTAGTAACCTCTCAAGAAGAGAAACAATCACGGATAACAGAATGTCCTTCGATGAAACAAGACTCTAAATGCATATAAAACTCTGGTACAATATCAACGACATGTAACAAAAAAAACCTCATGACACTACCAGCGACTTATGTATGTCGTTATGATTAGCGCACTTAAATGCATGTAAAAATGCTATTGTTAATTCTGCGTCCTATTCCTGACTCATCTTCTGCAAAGTGGCTTCGTCAGCTTGTGACATCGCTGTGAGTCGCTTTCCTAGCTTCTCATGGACATCCAAATATTTAGCCACACATCTATCCAAACATACTGCCTCACCCTTTAAAATAATCCAGTTGATGGTTGACTGTCGTACATTCAACCTAGCTTTGAGAAAACCTTAGTGAGCTCGCCTTCCTTGAATGTCTTTGCGATACACTTCTCCTGACATGCCGTCGTCATCCGCCGATACATATCCGACATCATTTCCATCTCCAACTCGGCGAGCATAGCAAGCTGCTGTTCTGTCGCCATCGTGTCCTCAGGCCTAGATTTTTACCATAAATTACTTCACGATATCATCCATCTTGAAATGACAGATTACGTAGTATCAGTCCCATTTCGAACCATAAAATTACAAAGAGACAAGAATATGTAGACGAAGTCAACATTTAGTAGGAGACAAAATGCACTTTTAGAAAGATAACTATTAATATGTAGGAAGAAATCGACCAAATTCAATTAATTCAGACATACCTGAAGGGATGGATTTGGTTGCGTTCACTACAATGACTAAAAACACGACCAATTCGTACAAAAATTAATCAGATTGGTAAGTCGTAGATGGCTTGTCATACACACTGAAGAAAATATTGGAACTGCTTCGTTAAACAACAGTGAAGAGTTACAATGAGCCGGTATCCAATGCCCAGTCTATCTTCTTAGCGCTATTTGCATAGAGCGTATTTAACAAAACATGAGCTGGATACCACAGTTGCAGTGATGCCGCCCATTATTCGAAAGATCCAATCTACTCAGTGGTCTGGTTCGACTCAACGCCTTGCGTACCAAGAATCTCATCCATTCGAGATGAGAAAATTGGTACCACACTTTTCAGGAACCAGGTCATTCCTCCAGTCCACGAGGGAACGCCCTAGCGCGGATCCTAGAATTCCAGGAAAAATCGACTCCATCAGCATTCACCGACATTCCACAAGAAAACGGAAATCCTCAAGCAGTTGCCAAACCAACACGCAACAAATTCGAAGGCCCTCGTGGATGGTGTACGTAAGCAGCCGAATCGGATTCGATGCACAATATAATACGATGTAGAACCACACACAAAAAATTGTTTTCAACAACTTAAGTACTTAAGGAACACAGTCGTTTAAGCAAACGTCGAATAAAATGATTCGCATGTCCACCGCTAGTGAACTGGCTCAAAAGTAGCTACGTGTAACTTCGGTTGACATGGATAATTAAGCACTGTGTGTCATTTCTAATAATGCATTCTCCCAGCTCGACGTCCAAAATAAACAAGAATAAAGTTGTCAGCCAGAAAAGAATGAGGAAGACTGGGCAAAATAAAACACAGAAAAATAAAACCTGCTGAAACACGTTTGAATGGGAAAAAAGGTAGACAGAGCAAAATTGAGGAAGAACGAAAGGAAACTACTATTGAGCACTAAGTAGATAGACTCGCACTATGGCGATTGAGATAGTTTTTACACGGACCATTAATAACAAAAATAAACATCGTATGTAAGCCGACGATTAGGTTCACATGAAACGAATTCTCTAAAGAGATTTATTGCCGAATCCATCATTTCTCTTTAAAAATGTCTTTGAAAACACGAAGAAAAGTCGTAACAACGACGGCCGTTTGTGCTTACGTTGCAACTACAGGCAGTCAACGCACGTGTATATGGAATAGTTCGTCGCTCCATCAAATCTACAACTATAACTTTTAAAGAACAAAAGCTAGAAATAAAACATCAAAAAAGTTACTAACATGATGCTTTTCGAAAGTCACTACAACTACCTATAAAACGAATACCTGAGAGGTGTAACACGTGGGCCGTAATAATTAATGATATAGCCTGAACCATCGGCTGGAAGTAGAAGCTGCAGAGCAATGAGAACAACATCAACCAACCACAGCACAAATAACCCTCCCAACGAAAACATTTTAATAATTCCTAAAAGTTGACACCAGGTCTAACACTTCCCATGAAGTTTCCGATGTATCAAAACCCACCAATGGCATAATAACCAAGATAAATTCGGTCGATCCCCAGAAAACCAAAAAATAACGATAACAGAAGAGCACTAGAGTGATGAATATGTGCGTTATAACTACACAAGTTCGGCATCTGAAACTAGAAAATAAGAGTTTAAATTTGATGGCAACATAACTGCTAGAGATTTGCCTCGTACTACGCTTAACAAAGATGTTTGCAAACTAGAACCCAAAAGCCAAGTTGTAACTTAGCTAAAGCGAAAGAAAAAAATAAAGCCCAACGCATTAAATGTGAGAGAAATTCGGAATTTCCAGTAATAGTTTTCCCCTTCCTCCCAACGGTTTACCGCCTGATCGTGGCCGAGAGGTGTTCCTGGCTGCCAGCCTGCAATGTACAACGGAGGGATTTATCCCCCAGTCTCCCAGACTGAGAACGAGTCCAGTGTTTCCATAAGAAAGTCCAGCTAAGAGTAAATCAATACCAAGAAGATCCAGCACCGTCCTGGTATCGAACTAGCCACATGATGGCAAATCCCCATCTGATCCACAATGGTGGGGGCTGTCTGTGGTGGGGCAGACTTTGGCTAGACTATCCTCAGGACTCCAGAGAACCACAATGACTAGACCAGCAAATCTCTGGAGAATGGAAATTATGCTGGGGCTCGCGCAATCAGTGAAGACGGGCCATCCAAGTATCCAAGCAAGTAAGTTTGCCCCGTATAAGATTTCCAGGTAACATAGTAGATAATCTTACAATCAGCAGTTCCAAACCTGGAACCGCACGTATTCATTTGCAATGCACAGATAATTTATCAACCACATAAGAATATTTGCAGCATAACTGCAACCGGAAGTGATATTGCCAAAATATAGAAAGAAGACGTACTCTTAAATGGAAAAACCGTGTGCCGTTGAGTAATCCGAGACAGTGAATGCCACTAGCCATTTTACAAGTCACTAAAATGAATTTGTTCATGTACAAAGAAGAAAAAGAAAGACACCTTACCTGTTACTGAGTTGTCTTCATTGCAGTTTAATGGCTGCTGCGTATGTACATTTATAACAGGAGGCTCACAGGCGTACCTTGAAAGTACATTCCATAGAATGCGTATGTCACATAGGAAACAATTCCTCTATTTAAAGGCAGAATTTAGAGAAACACAAGTTTCTACCTACTTACCTCTTACTGGAACATTCTCATGATGAAGTATAGGCGCCAAATTTACGAAACTCAATGTAACTTACACTTTCGTTAAATCGCCCATGTGAACCAAAACGCACCTACATTACCAACACTTCAACAAAGATTCGCTATAAATTAAACATAATTGGATTGAAAACTCTGCCTCTGAGCATTCAGATAGAAATTCTCCTGGCAGGCTGGTCGAAAATTTTTTGAAAGAAATCAAGCACGCCCAAGCAACTATTAAAATTGCCTTCTAGTCGTTCACTGCATCCTTTTCTTAAGATTACTTAACCAACACCAGCAGAAATGTGTCATGAATAGAGTTTTCTAGAGGACTGTGCATACACATCTGAAGATTGGAAATCTGTGCAATCCCTTTGTTATACACAGCAAATTAAAGGATAAAGTAAAGGACAAAGCTCTCGCCGTTCATCAGTCCCTGAAGAATGAGCTATGCACTCCACTTCAATAACCATCGATGAAGGATACCATTGAATTGAATGCATACCTGGCTTTTACAATGAATCGCGGTGGCCTACGGATGTATCAAACCAATGCTGCTATCCACCCACAAAAGCATGGTACCCATTTGCGGACTCCGGAAGGACAGAACGCTTGGTGAGCCACGGGCGCGGAGATCGATCCTATGGGTGTCAGATCGCCTCCGACCACTGCGCTACACGTCTCATCCATTTGTTCTAAACGGCGAACTACTTCCCTATATAAAGAAGCTGACGCTTGCTATACAGCAGTACTTGACTCTTCAGCGGTATGCAATACAGCCTTGGAGATATCGGAATTGCCATAGGATTATAGTAAAATGTTGCGCAGTTGTCAAAAGATGGCACCTAGGACTTTACTGGACGTTACCAGGATGGCATATAAGAAAGCCCAACACTTTGCTTGCTTTCCTGACGGTAGAAACCTTCTAAACTCCTCAGTCAGAGATCCAAATATTCCATTGCCAAACAGGAATTGACTTTAATATATTATTATAACTTTTTCTGCCAACATCTTCGTCCCAGACTGTATAATATTCAAACACATACATTGTCCTGCTGAAAAGTCATTTGCAGGCTTTCAAGACGAATATTGTCATATCACTGTGAAAAATACACCTTGTTTCTCACAGTAAAGGGCAAGGAAGCAATGGATTTACACTAACGCTTATGCTCAACTATTTCAGCTGCACTTCATAAATGCACCTCCTTGTCACTTCACGATGGAAATCTGAATTCTTTATAATCTTGTTGAGCAAACACAAGGTGTTATATTACTTTTTTCCTTACGAACAAACAGACGTTTCAGCGGATTGCGGATTTAAAGCGGTGAATTTGCAGCGAAGCTATTCCGTTTTCAACATGATTGAAATCTTGGTTTACCATTTCCTCTGTTTAGTTATGGAGGTTCTTGGTTGGGTAGATTGCGGTCAACTTGACTTTTCCAGCTTGTGAGAAAGGCGAAATCCACCGAAACGTCAGATTGTGCGTAAATAAGGAAATAATATAACATGTCGTGTTTGCTCAATAAGAATGTAAAAAATTGTCCAATCAATGCCGAGGTTAATAGAAAGTTGGTAGTCGGAATTACTACAAGAGTGCCAGGAAGCCCGAATATTCGTGAAGTGCCTCGAGATTTTCACATCTACACGCACCATCCACAAAAGCTTATCACAACGTCCAATTTTAAAGTGCAGACGGAAAAGATAAAGCAACCGGCGTTGACTAAATCCTACATGATGCCATATGTATCCGACTTTGTTCAGTGCCGAAAAGTGCATGGAGGCTCGCTTACCAGAGTGACTTCCAAAGGAATACCGATGTATCAAATTCGTCTTATTGTCCTCCCAGATAAATGTGCTAGCAGTTTCCCGATGCTGAAACAATACTAGGCTTGGTTAGCTGCAGTGTGGGATCAAAACAAAAACTACGCTTATAATTCTTTGATTTCTAACGAATACACCATATTCGCCCCGCTAAGATAAAGTTTGTGGAGAAAAAAGCAAAGTGAAGTGCTTGGTAGTACAACGGCCGAAACAGGCGTGAACAAAAAGATGACGCTGATAGTAAACCTCTATCTTGGACGAAAACTAAACCTCAAGCGACGAAGCCAACTGTTCAACGTTTGAAAATGTCTACAATTTAAAAAAAGAGAAAGAAAAGCATAAACGTACTGGAAACTCCTCAGAGATTGGCACTCTTTCAAGCCACGTTGTTTCGAACGTTCACCTGACACTAACGATGAGGAATAAACAAGGAATATCCAGAGTCGTAAGCGTAGGTGATAGGTGCTGACCATTGCATGGCACTGAAAACACTATATTTGCCAAGTTTACTCCACAAGAATGGCAAAAGGAACTTTAAAGAAAAGGCAGAAATGGAGCACACAACGGTGTTAAGAGGCCTCAAAAGAGAATAGAACATACAAGAAGCCACAAAACAGACCAGTAAGTTCCTTAGGAAACGCACAGTACGATTCCAAAAATCCATAGCACCCTTCTGCTCCTAGTTCCGAAGAATTTGCTCTTTCGATCGGGTCAAGAATTTTGGATAGAAGCGCGCTATTAGCATGCGTGAGGCGCGTGTGGTGCAGTGGTCGGAGGCGCCCTGCAAAACACATGGAATCTATCCCAGAACGCCAGGTTCACCAAGCCATCCATCCCTTTGGGGTTGGCGAATTAGTACCAGACTTATCTCGGAGGATAGCAGCACTAGCTCGATGCATCGGCAAGTCACTGCGAGTATTGTAAAAGCCAGATATGCATTCAATCACCTCCAACGATACTTAATAGAGTCGATTGCATGGCACATCCCTCAGGGATTGATCAACGCCGAGAGCTTTACCCTTTATCCTTTATTAGCACGCATTGTGTGATTGCACCTAGTCCATAGTGAGGAAGGAACTTCATTAGTTGAATGTTACTGTTCTAAACTCATTCGACAGTGGAAAATCGAGCAGCGGAGTGATCAATAATTTCCTTACATGAGTATGAAACACACCCACATCCCTTTTTGCTGGATAGATGGTCCGAGGAATCGTTCGCACCTAGCAATGTTTCCATCTAGATAGCATTCTGCTGGTTAAGCAGATTCTTGTTTCCAGTGTCGAAATCGCCATACCATGGCTTCTACCAGTATGAACCACAGGCCTATCCTTGTGGATCGTATGGAGATTTAGCTTCTTGGTTACTAACAGCTACGCTGACGGGTCGACTTCAAGAGAAGTGATTTTGTGTTCATTGGATATGTTATTAGTTTCCACTGATTTATCTAATGTGAAAAATCCTGAGCCGTTTCTCGCTAGGCCATTTGATGCGCCCGTAGACAGCGAATATGTAGTTAAACGTGGACGAAATGCCCGGACATTATGGATTAAAGGAAGAAACTCTCCTTCCATCCCACTCGGGCGGGCCGTATTGGCTTATACCTTTCGCATTTACGTAATCATATTCATGCACGCGCAAATGGATGTAGTCGAGTGTAGGTTGGTGGTGTCTTCCTCGCCCACTCGGTAACAAGTGAATGGAACGACGATGACTCGATATTGGCAGAGGACTCGATGTTGACTCACTGAGCAACCCGGCCCTCGTCCACTCGACCATGAGTGTATGGAAGGAAGATGGAAGACGACTCGACGTTGGTTTAGAGAGCAACCATGGCTTCGTCCACTCGATCACTATTGGATGGAGGAGAATATGGCAGACAACTAGGCGTTGCCTCAGAGAGCAATCTTGGGCGGCATGACAAGTTCTCAGCAAGTATCCACATCCCTCGCACAACACAATCCGGCAAACTGCGCGTGGGTCCAGATTCGCCACAAGGGCTGGAAATGATGAGTCTCATCGGAAAAGTGTGATAACGTTTGTGTAGCTCAAGCAGGATGAACCAACCGAACATATCTGACATTCACTACGGATGATTAGTGACTTTACTAGTGTAAGCTCGAGT